TAACTACCTGATTATTTATCCCAGTCCCTTCTAGACTAAGCTTGGTGAAGGGAGGGTCTGTGCTGATCTTGTTCACCATTGTATACCACAATGCTTGCATGTAATGGACAATTAATAATTATTTGCTCAATGGGTCAATGAATGAAGAATTTATGGCCAATCTCACTGTTTTTGGTATTTATTATATCCTCCATATACTGTTACTTCCCTGTCTTCCCAACTGGATTACAAACTTCCCTGGGTCAGGGACTCTTGCTTATGTATGATATATTACTAGCACTTACTATGGTGTTAAGCACACAAAGGCATCTACTCATTTGTTTATTAATTTGACAAGTATATATAGTGTGTGTACAATGTTAAGGCAAATGTGGTGTTTGGGAGAAGGGAGGTTGGAGATGAGAAGTTGGAAAATGGGTTTGATTTAAACACCTTAAGTACTTCAATTTTTTATATCATGTAGTGCGTGTAGAGATGGCCTTAATCACAGATAAAACATTATATATTACTTGCTTAGTTATCTTTCCAGTTATTAAGGAACCAAGGTTTAAAAATAGATTTATAAAAAAGTACTTAACATGGAAGAGCAAGAAGAAAAGAGCAGGAGAGAAATAATAGAACTAAATAGTCCCCAGGGGCCAGGTCTACAGCCAGGGAGGAGCCGCCTCCTGTATTGTGCAATATGTGTGGCTTGGCAGAAATGAGATGAACATGCACTCTTCCCTTCTATTAAAGGCTAATTATTTTTTAAAGTAAAGTTATGACTTATACAAATACAAACTTAGCACGTGTCCAATATTTTATTTAACTCATTAATGAAGGGGGGAACTAGTAAGATATTACAACTGATTCAAAAGATAATCCAAAGAAGCAGAAACATATATAGACAATTAACAGTGCTGCAATTCATTTGATTAACAGACACAACACTGGTTTCTTGGGTGAGGGGAAGAGAGATCAATTGTACTCCAAGAACAATTTGCATTTGTATTTCTATGGACAAGAATCATTTGTACTACTGTCAGGTTGGTTTTTTTTTTTTATATTTTTATTGATTTCAGAGAGGAAGGGAGAGGGAGAGAGAGATAGAAACATCATGAGAGAGCATCATTGATTGGCTGCCTCCTGCACACCCCCTACTAGGGATTGAGCCTGCAACCTGGGCATGTGCCCTTGACCGGAATCGAACCCATGATCCCTCAGTCCTCAGGCTGACACTCTGTCCACTGAGCCAAACTGGCTAGAGCCTACTATCAGGTTTTTTGCAACACACAGAGTTGTAAAATAGCTCAAAGTCAGTGAAAGCACACTTAATCTGCTAGATTGGACACCCAGTAACCTTTAGTACTCACTTTAAAGTCTTTCATAATTTCTGTTGACACTAATAGATCCCTCAACTTGTCTTCCAACACAATGATTCACTGTGTGAAGTCTTAGTTTTTCTCTGAAAAAGTTTAAGAAAAATAAAGGGTTTTTAACAAAAACCATACAAAGCACATTAACCATACAAAGTCTCTGAGTTCCTTAGATAAGACCAGAGTGGAATAAAAATCTCAATTCTTCATAGATGCTTGTGTGCTTCAAAAGACAACCTGAACCTTTTCTTTGACATGTAACCCTCCCCCCCCTTTTTTTAAAAATATATTTTATTGATCTTAGAGAGGAAGGGAGAGGGAGAGATAGAAACATCAATGATGAGAGAGAATCATTGATCGGCTGCCTCCTGCATGCCCCTTACTGGGGATCGAGCCTGCAGCCCAGGCATGTGCCCTTGGCCATAATCGAACCTGGGACCCTTCAGTCCGCAGGCCAACGCTATACCCATTGAGCCAAACCAGCTAGGGCGACATGTAACTCTTTTGTCCTCCTTAAAACAATATAGCTGGTATTTAATGGGTTTTTTTTCAACCATGAGATATTTTATAAATACAGGAAGTTTATAGAATAATATAAGAAACATCCAGCTCTGGCTAGGCAGCTTAGTTGGTTAGAGCATCATCCTGATATGCCAAGGTTGCAGGTTTGATCTCTGGTTACATAAAGGCTTTTGAAAAGAAACTGGAAGTCTTTAAGAGGGATGTGGATGGTAAGAGATTTAGATATTTCCCAGACTTCAAGAGGCACATCAAAGACCTCCCAACAGATGACAGAACAGACTGTCAAAGCCTTCAAAAGCTGTTTTTAAACATCATCGAGTCAACTATTGAGCAGTTCTTCCCAAGATTTGCGAAATTCAGAGACCTGGAAGAGACAGCAAAATTCATGTGGTTTCCAGATAGCATGAAACTGGAGGAACTAAACTTACAAATGTTTTCATGGCTAGACATGGCTGACTTTGAAATGCAGTTGATTGAATTTCAGAGTAGCTCAATTTGGAAGCAGAAATTTATTGACCTTAGAGTTGACTTGGAAAACATTGAAAAAAAAGCGATTAGAGACAGGAGTACCAGAGAGAAGTGTCAAAAACGAACTATTGAGGACTCGGAATGCCATTCCAGAAAGATTTTTCTGTTTAAAAAACTTTGCAACAGCGTTACTCTCCATGTTTTCATCCACATACGCTTGTGAATCTTTGTTCTCAGTGATGACTTTTGTTAAGTCTCATAATAGGAGTAGCCTGATGGATGAAAGTAGTAGCTCGTGCATATCTCTGAAGGTCACGAAATATAAACCTGATGTAAAGTCTCTGTCATCAGTGATGCAGCAGCAAAAGTCCCACTGATAATTTCAAACGGAGTCATAAAGTTTTCTGTCGGACTATCAGTGTACATGTATACATTAAAAAATAAATGTTTTTTTCATCATCATATACTGTGTTTTTGTTGCTCGAATGAATTTTTTTAAAAATATATATTTTATTGATTTTTTACAGAGAGGAAGGGAGAGGGATAGAGAGTTAAAAACATCGATGAGAGAGAAGCATCAATCAGCTGCCTCCTGCACACCCCCTACTGGGGATGTGCCTGCAACCAAGATACATACCCTTGACCTGAATCAAACCCAGGACCCTTCAGTCCCCAGGCCGACGTTCTATCCAGTGAGCCAAACCGGCTAGGGCATCGAATGAATTTTATTATTTCTTCCAGGTTCTTCACATATGTACACCTTAAGAGATATCAAGTAGGCGTAACATGTTCTCAAAAAATTAGGGTTGGCATGCAGAAGAATTTTGAGTCAGAGATTTTGCTGGTTTTGGCACGCACTCACAAAAAGGTTGCCCACCCCTGACCTACACAGTTCAAACCCACATTGTTCAACTGTAAGCAAAAAACCCTCCATTCTACCTGTTATTATTGGTATATATTCATGGTATAAACATTTTTTAAATGTTTATAAATCATTATCATAATTATTTTGGTGTTCAAGTTGTTCCAGAGTTAGCTAGTAGGATCCTCTTCAAGCTGGCTTTTGTGTCCCGTGATATGCCTCATCATTTTTTTTGAAAACTTCCTTAATTTCCAGCAAAAATAGATGTTCCAGGCTCATCTGAAATCAGATTATTTCTCCAAGGAACACTAATTCTTCTTTAGTGTGAATATTAGCTATTTATTACTGCATAATCAGCTACCCCAAAATTTAGCAGCTTAAAACAACAAATTATGATCTCACACAGTTTCTTCTGAGGTTTGGGAATTTGAGAGAGGTTAGCTAGGTAGTTCTGGGTAAGTTTCTTTCCTCTCCTGAAGTCACAAATACCGCATGATGCTCATTTTTTGGCTTTTTTTTTGGTATGGGAATTCATTCTGGGAAGAAAAATCACACTTGATACAAGGAGTTCTCAGGCACTAGAATCAAGAGTCAAAACTAATTTAATATTGCAGTTTCCGTTCTACTTTGAAAGATTGTTTCTTTTAAGATCAAGTTCTAAAAGAAAATTTTAGACTACCTTTATTTTCCTCTATTACTTTTAGTCTGAGCATTTCTTTTTCATCAGTTGGCTCAAGTTATTACAACAAAAGGTATTGAAGATCTACTTGTACAAGACTGATAAAAGAAATAAGATCTGGCCTAGAGGAATTTGCAAAGTAGTGTAATCCTACTTCTTTCCTGAAATTTTCTCAAAGAAGTAAAAATTTCAGAGGTGAAGCTACTAGGAGCTTCAACTTGTTTAATGATTCTTACCCCCTTGCTCATCATTCCAGTTATTTTTCAGCTACTGAATACCACAATTTGTGCTGCACTATTAGCTCTGACATGAATGCAATGTAAAAAGCAATTCTTTACACCTGCCTAATCAGGGTAGTCTGTTTTAGGTTCCCTGGGGTTCCAAAGCTGCTCTGGGAATAAGCCTTGCTCAACCCACTTGAGCACAAAAGGAAACAATTAATAATTAATGAAATTGAGAAGTCTCCCACACTGGGTAATCCATCTTTGAGGAATTTGGGATTCTTTGAGAAAGAAAAGGGAGCCTTGCTTTAAAGCAATGGGAAAGGGCCCGGGGCCAGCAGTCTTACAGAGCCGGGTTTAATCACGGCACTGCCCCCCCGCCCCCCCCCCCCCCCCCCCCCCCAAACCGGCTGAAAGGTGGGTGGTCCAATCATATCAGGTCTCGGAACCTGTTTCTCCATCCACAACATGAGGCTTGACGGCCCCTCTCTCACTGCAATTTTCCAGCCCAAGGCTCAGGGAGGAATCCATCAAACGAGTAAGTGAACTCACGATTTGCTCTTTGTGGACAAAGAGTAGGGGCGGCCAGTCCGGCTAATTTATTAATACACTTTGACTGGACTCGTGACTGTCCTCGCTCTGCTCCTCCCCCGCCTCTCACCTCCCTGGGAGGACCTGGAGCAAAGGTCTAGCCGTGCGCCTGCGTACTGCGGTCGGAGCGATGAAGTCGCGCAGCCAGCCGCTCTTGGCGCCCAAACCACGCGATATTTCCTCCGGAGCTCGGTGGCGGTGAGTGCGGAGCGGAGGCGGCCGCTGGGACTGGGGGACCTGCCGTTGGGTCGGGCCGTCGGGGGGCGGGAAGATCTGGGGGCCAGGGTGGCCTCAAGGCTTCCTCCTGGAGCTACTGGCGTTATAGCGAGGACTTAGAATAAAGAATGCTGGAGGGGCAGAAGCAGGTCTTTTTGAAAAACAATTGTGGGGAGTAAGCAACCTCAGGATTGGACATACTTGTGTCCAAGGTGCCTCCGAGATGTTTATTTAACACATTTTTTTGAGTATCTACCATGTGCCAGGCATAGGGGTTGGACATAAATCATTGACCAACGGATACAAATCCCTGTCCTCCTGGTGCTTACGGTCTGGGAAGTCAGCTTGAAACTCTGGGCTGCGGATGCAGGTGCCTAGTCGTTTCCATGAGTGACGGGTAGTGGGAGCCCAAGAGGAAGGCGAGGTCCCTGAGAAGGGAAGGGTCTTGCAGGAGGAAGGAGGAAACAAGAAGACTCAAAGGATTACCTGGCCAGCTCTGGAGGACTATATCGTGCTGTTTCCTTTTAATCAAGCCTCAGTAGGAGGCTTACTAATGATGGTATGAAGATGAATGTGTTTGCATTCTGAGGCCAAAAACATTCTGCCCATTCAGTCTTCAACAAACTTGTTTCTATTAAAAATTCTAATTAGACTTAGTCCTTCTTCATATATTTGTTTTAGGAGGCAAACGCTGACAGGGAACTATATCTTTTCTGGATCCTAAATATGATTTGTCTTCTCCCCACAAATGTGCTTTCTTATTTTTAAATTGTTTAATATTTTCAAACTTCCTTGTGATTTAAAATGTTTTATATCAATAGGAATTACTTTATACAGAAATCTTGTGAGATCCCTGTGCAAACAAGGTGATGATTGTACAAAGAGTGGTACTGAATTCCCGACCTGGTATGTATTTATCTGTGATGAATGAAAAGCTATGGTCTTTGATAATTATTAATGAAAATGGAGGAACAAAGGTATCCATATGATGTCAATGTGGTAAACTGAGGTAGGAAGATATTAATAGTAGCAGAAATATTAGAAGAAATTCTTTAAACAATGTACTATTCAGTTTCTCAAGTGATATCAAGGCCATTTGTTGAAAAAAATAAGGTATTTCAGAATTATTATTTAAAAGATTATGTTACAAATATGTGGCTTTTGTTTTTTATTTATAGTATATATCATTGGTTCTTAAAATTTGCTTTTTTTTTGATGTGAACAGCACTGACTTATGTCTGTGCTGATCTTGCAACCTGAGTCATAGAAACAGGTATGGAAGTAACCTGAGAGGTTTGGGCTCATGCTGCCTTGGTTTTGTTGCCTTTTCATAATAGTATGTAATAAAAGGCTAATATGCAAATCAACCAAACTGCAGAACGACCAGTTGCAGTGACATGCACTGACCACCAGGGGGCAGACACTCAACACAGGAGCTGCCCCCTCATGGTCAGTGCGCTCCCACAGGGGGAGCGCAGATCAGCCAGAAGCTGGGCTTGTAGTTGGTGAGTGCAGCAGCGGTGGCAGGAGCCCTCTCCCACCTCCACAGCAGCGCTAAGGACCCCTCAGCGGATGTCCCCAGTCAGACATCCCCAGAGGGGTCCCGGACTGTGAGTGGGTGCAGGCCAGGCTGAGGGATCCCTCTCCCCCCTCCAATACACGAATGTCGTGCACCGGGCTTCTAGTATTTAAAAAAGCTGGCTATGATTTTTCATTTTTGAAATCTTCCTATATGTTAAAACAAATGAAGTGATTTACCTTTAGTCATCTCAAAAAAGAAATCTTAAAGTTGACAGCAATATTCCAAAGGATCTTTTTGGAGAAAATGAAGAGCAAGTAAAACTACTTGAAGAATTTATATTGAGTTACAGAGAAATTACAAAATAATATAGATTTATTCATGCCCAAGTTAAAAGACAGTGCTCTGGAACCTAGAGTGACCTTTTAAAGAATAGTAAATAATTATATAGGACAATGAGTTTTTTACTTTACATTTTTACCTAATATTTTAGGAAAAAATGGTAATCCAGTGGCAGAAAATTTCCGAGTAGAAGAAGTAAATTTACCAGATCATATCAATGAAGGACAAGTACAAGTCAGAACTCTTTACCTTTCTGTGGATCCTTACATGGTAAGAGTCAGGATTTTGTGACTTGGTGAAAATTAATTTTACTTTTCTATTTTTTAATGCTGCATCTAAATTTTATTGAGCAATCCTCATGATTAACGAATATTTGAGCAATTATATTTTGATACCTGTGAATTACAGATTGCCTTTGTTTTTATTCACTAGTGTTATTAAGGAATGTTATAGAAGGAAGATTTCCATTATAGTAGCACATGTAGTTATCAGTTCTTTCCAAATGTCCAGACTACTGCCCAGTAGTAAGTAAAGCTTGAAGATCGTAAATTAGGATTGGAAATTCTCTCAAATTTATCCAGTTTATAAGATCTTATTTATCACTCCATCTCCAGGGACTAGCATGGTGCTTATTAAGTATTAATTAAAGGAAGGAAGGCTGGAACTCACTTCTTTCCCCAGGTGGCCCTGCATGGGACGGTGTGCCACTCCACTTGGGAATTATAATTAATCACTTGCCTTCACTAGAAATTGTTCTATAAAAAAAAAAAGAACATAAACAACTTTAAATGAAAAAAAAGGAATCTAATGAACATTAAATCATTGCAATTTTATATCATTCCAAAATCACAACTAATTTCAATCACCATGTGTGTACAGTATTTTACGTGGTTATATTTAATGTGTATATACTATTTTGATTTCATATTTAAGTGACTTTATATACATATCTTTATATGAAAAACTAGTGGAAATATCATTACATTGGTGGTTCTGTTTTTCTCTTAGCCTTGTTTGAGTCAGGTCCTTGGTCTGGCCAATATCCAATGGCTGCTGCACTTGCTTTCCAAAAATACATGGGATGGACACAGAAGCAGAAGTGTAGCATATACCTATAGAAGCTTCTGCTTCAATTCCTATTTGGTCTTTTCTGACTGAACTAGACCACCCTTAATCAAGCAGTGTTTCCATCTTTTCCATCTCCTGGACCACACTGTAGGCCTCCAATTCTTGGCTTCATGAGAGAAGCAAGAGTGAGCCACAGAGAAGAAGAGAGCCTTCACTAATTTCCAGGATGTCTTTAGCATAGTTTCATGGGAGGCTGTGGTGTCATTGTGGCATTTTTTTCTTGGCTGAATAAAGAGAACATCCACCTGAGGTTAGGGGTATGATGTAGTGCTTGGTCTGAAGTTTTCCCTATCATTGTTTTATTGTGGAAAATTGAACAGTTGGGGAAAGCTTAAAAATGTTTTGGGAATAGGTAGTATTAGAAATTAGGAAGAGGAGTTCAGAAGGGATGGTGATAAACAACTGTATAAAAATAGTTTTGCCCGGTCGGTGTTGTTCAGTGGTTGAGTGTTGACCTATGAACTTGGAGGTAACAGTTCAATTCCCAGTCAGAGCACATGTCTGGGTTTCGAGCTTGATCCCTCATAGGGGGCATGCAGGAAGCAGCAGATCAATGATTCACTCTAATCATTGATGTTTCTATCTCTACCTTCCTCTCCTTCCCTCTCCCTCCCCTTCTGAAATCAATAAAAAGAAAAAATAGTTTCATTTTTGTATGTGTTATTTCCATTGGGGAAGTGGAATTGCTAGGCCAAAAGAAATGAGTACCATTATGGTCTATATCAGCGGTTTTCAACCTGTGGGTCGAGACCCCTTTGGGGGTCGAACGACCCTTTCACAGGGGTCGCCTAAGACCATCGGAAAACACATATATAATTACATATTGTTTTGGTGATTAATCACTATGCTTTAATTATTTTCAATTTGTAACAATGAAAATACATCCTGCATATCAGATATTTACATTACGATTCATAACAGTAGCAAAACTACAGTTATGAAGTAGCAATGAAAATAATTTTATGGTTGGGGATCACCACAACATGAGGAACTGTATTAAAGGGTCGCGGCATTAGGAAGGTTGAGAACCACTGGTCTATATGATACTAATTTGTTTTCTATAAAAAGTAGACAGTTTCATAATATTGTCATCAACATATAAGTATACTTAATTTGCCAAAATCCATTGAAACCACTGGCACAGTAGTTTGAATTAATTTTGTTAGTATAATGTCTGTAACATTACTTAAATTGTTTAAAAATTTTAACAGCTTTATTGAAATATAATACACGTATCATATAATTCACACATTTAAATGTACAATTCATGGTTTTTAGTCTATTCACAAAATTGTGGAACTATCATCACTTTAGAATATACTTAAATTTATTTTCTTTTTTTAAAATATATTTTATTGATTTTTTACAGAGAGGAAGGGAGAGAGATAGAGGGTTAGAAACATCGATGAGAGAGAAACATCGATCAGCTGCCTCCTGCACATCTCCTACTGGGGATATGCCCGCAACCAAGGTACATGCCCTTGACCGGAATCAAACCCAGGACCTTTCAGTCCGCAGGCCGACGCTCTATCCACTGAGCCAAACCGGTTTCAGCCTTAAATTTCTTTTGAATTGCACTTCTTTACTTGTTAGAGAGAAGATACAGTTTTTTTTTCCAGAATAAAAAACTGAAAGGAAGATAGAAATTAAGATAAATTTTGTTTGATTAACACTGTACTTAACATTACTTATATACCTTTCCTTAGGTCACTAGATAAATTGGTAAACTGGTTCAGTATTATTAGACAGAATTTGCTAATCAGTGTTTTCTTTTTTAGCGCTGTAAAATGAATGAAGATTCTGGGTCTGATTATTTAGCACCTTGGCAGTTGTCTCAAGTGGTTGACGGAGGAGGTATTGGGATTATAGAAGAAAGCAAACACACAAATTTTACTAAAGGCGAGTTTGTGACTTCTTTCTACTGGCCCTGGCAAACCAAGGTTATTCTGGATGGAAATAGCCTAGAAAAGGTGATGTATAATATAAAAGTATTTTTCTCCACTGTAATTCTTATTTTGTACCTTTGGTCTTCAGTTGTTTGATAAGGGGGAGGGGAGGTGGGGAGCATACATTTTCTTTTAGATATCTGCAAAAATGTGGAAAGCCTTTGTTCCTTTTCCACTATTGGCTGTAACTATATATGACAGTTCTTAGATTACCAGTGAGTGGTGGTGTTTTCCATATTTAATTTATTTCTCAAATTTTACAGATATAAAATAAAACCTGAACTATAAGCATCAAAAAATATTTTATACTAAGAACCAAAGGCCCCTTGTAGTTGTATGCTTTAAAGTTTCCTGAGAAATTGACACTTAAGAAATTCCTTTGGTTTGAGCTTGAAATTCCATCTTGTGTCAGAAATCTTGAGTTTGGTTTCTGTTAGGTTGAACCATGTGAAACTACCAATATTTTTCTGTTTTGACCTGCAAAAACTGGCAGCTTCATGTACAGGGTGGGGCAAAAGTAGGCTTATAGTTATGAGTATGGAAAACAGCACAATAATTAAAAAATAATAATACAAGAATAAACTGTGTTTTTCATACTTACAACTGTAAACCTACCTTTGTCACCCCTGTGTAGTCACATTAAGGGTTAGGTATTCAACATATGAATTTTAGGAGTGCCAATGTAAGAAATGTCCAAATCAGTAGAGAATTTTATAAAAATATATTTTTATTGATTTAGAGAGGTAGGGAGGAGAGAAACATGAGAGAGGATCATTGATCAGCTGCACACCCCACACTGGGGATTGAGCCTGGGACCCGGGCATGTGCCCTGCCCAGGAATTGAACTGTGACCTCCTGGTTCATAGGTTGATGCTCAACCACTGAGCCACGTGACTGGGACTAGAAAATTTTTATAAGAATTTATTTGAGCCTGACTGGCATGGCTCAGTGGTTGAGCATCGACCTATGAACCAGGAGGTCATGGTTTAATTCCCGGTCAGGGCACATGCCCAGGTTGCAGATATACAGTGTGGGGTGTGCAGGAGGCAGTCGATCAAGGTTTCTCTCATCATTGATGTTTCTGTCTCTCTCTTCCTCTCCCTTCCTTTCTAAAATCAATAAAAATATATTTTAAAAAATGTATTTGAGCCAAACTGATGACAGTTGCTGGGAAGCAAGATCTTAGATATTCTGGAGAATAAGTTTTACATGTTCTTTTATACATTTTGAAATTAAGAAAACATAAAGAAGATTACATGCAGGAGGGAGAAAGAAAGGCAGCAATTGGATTACAGGATAGTTAACAAGAATGGTAACCTAAGATAGGCTTACTTAAGGCAAAAATAAACCTTTTACTAAAGAAGTTATATGTTTGGGGAGTGACCACCCACCAAGACCTGCCCTGTTAGGAATTTATGATCAGATCACCCTGGGAGGTTACTTTCTGTGGAAACCCTTTTTTTGTCCACAGGAAGACATGATTCAGCCTATAATAAGTTGTTGCTACCTTGTTGACTTAAAACTGGGATTCCTAGGTTTTTTTTTTAAAGATATATATTTAGACAAAATAAATAAATACAAATAAAAGATATACATTTCATTTTAGGTAGACCCGCAACTCGTGAATGGACATATTTCATATTTTCTTGGAGCTATTGGTATGCCTGGTTTAACTTCCTTGATTGGAATACAGGAAAAAGGTCATATAACTCCTGGATCTAATCAGACAATGGTTGTTAGTGGGGCTGCTGGTGCTTGTGGATCCTTGGCTGGGCAGGTAATAATTTCTGAGAATCATTTGATTTTCTAAAAACGTAGTCATAATTGAATCTCTGGATATATATATATATGTATATATATATATATATATATATATATATATATATATATATATATATACTAGAGGCCTGGTGCATGACATTTGTGCACTGGAATGGGGGAGGTCCCTCAGCCCAGCCTGCGCTCTTTCGCAGTTCTGGAGCCCACGGGGAGCGGGCCTAAGCCGTCAGTCTGACATCCTTAGTGCTGCTGCAGAGGTGGGAGAGGCTCCCGCCACCACTGCTACACTCACCAGCCGTGAGCCTGGCTTCTGGCTGAGTTGCGCTACCCCTTTGGGAGTGCACTGACCACCAGGGGGCAGCTCCTGTGTTGAGCATCTGCCCCCTGGTATTCAGTGTGCATCATAGCGACAGGTTGTTCTGCCATTTGGTCGATTTGCATATTATCCTTTTATTATATAGGATCATTTAAAATATAAAATTGAACAAATTTATGATTATTTTGCACATTTCTGGTAGAAAATATATTATTACCTGCTTAGACTGTCTTTATAATAATATGAAAAGTGTTGTAGATTTTTGTATCTTGTTCTCTGTTAACCAAAAATAGACACAGGAAATGCTAGAACGATCCAAGGAAGAAAATCAAAGTACCTATGTGGAATTCATGAACTAAAAATAAAAAACAAACTCGCCCTAGCCAGTTTTGCTCAGTGGTTAGAATTTCAGCCTGCAGACTGAAGGTTTGTGTGTTCTATTCTGGTTAAGGGCATATACCTCAGTTGCAGACTCAGTCCCTGGCCAGTGCAGGAGGCAACCAATCGATGTGTCTCTCGTACATTGATGCTTCTGATGTTTCTGTCTCCATCTCTCCCTCTCCTTTCCTCTCTAAAATCAATGGAAAAAAATATCCTCAGGTGAGGATTAACAAAAAAACACATATTGTAAAAAAAAGTCTTCAAATACAGTAAATATTATGATAGAATTTTATAAAATGCACTAGAGGTCTGGTGCATGAAATTCATACATGGGTTGGGGGGAGGGAGTTCCTCAGCCCAGCCTGCACCCTCTCCAATCCGGGATACCTCAGGGGATGTCCGACTGCCTCTCACAATCCGGGACTGCTGGCTTCTAATCTCTTGCCTGCCTGCCTGATCTCCCCTAGCCCCTCTGCCTGCCTGCCTGATTGCCCCTAACCGCCTCTGCCTCACCCCACACTTGGGACCCAGGATTCCCTTCTCTGGCCAGCCACAGGCACCCAGGACCCGGGCCGGATTCACCTGGACCGGTCACAGCCACAGGGGACCCTGGGCAGGTGGCTTTTCCTGGGCCGCAGCCGCAGGCGCTGGCACCCAGGACCGCAGGGCAGGCGGCCTGTCCCTCTCCTGGGCCGCAGCCTGGCTGGTCCCATTCTTCTCTCATGAGCTCATTTGTGCCTGGCTGGTCCCCATTCCCCTGAAAAGTACAGTGTTGAGCGTTTGAGCCATTATAACATGATGCTGTGAGTGTGTGACAACCATTTGCATATTAGCTCTTTATTATATAAGATTGTTTTTATGAATAATAGCCTTTATAGTATGAAACCTCTGAAATAAAATATTTTTTTCTTAGTAGTGATTTTACTCACAGGCCTGAAAAATATTTTAAAACTTTTAAAAAATTTAATTTATTGGAGTGACATTGTTTAATAACATTATATAAATTTCTGGTGTACAACTTTATTATATGACATCTGTGTACTCTATTGTGCACTCACCATCTGGTCTGGTCTCCTTCTGTCACCATATACTTGACCCCTTTACCCTCCTTGTCCTCCCCTTACCTTCTTTTCCTTCTAGTAACCACCATTCTGTTGTGTCTATGAATTTTTGTTTGTTAATTTGTTGCTTTTTGCTTTATATACCACATGAGTGAAATCACATTCTCACTTTTCTATCTGACTTATTTCACTTAACATAATACTATATGCTCAAGGTCCATCCCACTGAAAAATAATAAATTGCAAGTTAGTGATGTTTGGGATCTGACTATTCTTTTTATGAAATTAGCTTTAAATTCTGAAATTTTAACATTCAAACTAAGTCTAATTTTATTCAATCTTAATGTTTTTAAGAATGGCATTATATGTTTTCTGTTCTGATTTCAAATTACTTTTAGCTGAAAGCCCTGTAATCTAACCTAAATTGTGGTGAACACTCTCATATACTTATAATATCTTGCATGCTTTCACATTTTAAAATGTAAATATGACATAGAAAGTTGTTTAATTTTCAAAAATTTCCCCCCTAGATTGGTCACTTGATGGGCTGTTCCCGAGTGGTGGGAATTTGTGGAACACATGAGAAGTGCCTCATTTTGACCTCAGAACTGGGCTTTGATGCTGCAATTAATTATAAAAAAGAGAATGTAGCAGAACAGCTCCGGGAACTATGCCCAGCTGGTGTGGATGTTTACTTTGACAATGTTGGCGGTGACATAAGTAACACAGTGATAAGTCAGGTAGTTTGTTGATTTGTTTCTTATAAATCTGAATGCTGTTTTATCTGACGTGATATATTTTTACCTGATACTAAGAGATAAAAAAACTGTATAAGATTGTTGGGTTTATTGAGAAAAAGAAACTAAAGATGATCAAGTGATCAACTGTAATTAAGTGAAACAGAAGAGCTTGCTGATATATCTACTTCCACTTACTTACAGATTTGCACTATGAACGTCAGTTTCAGTTCTTTGCTAGCATTATTATATTTTTCACCTGCAGTTAATTTTTGTGAAAAGTACAGTTGTATTGTTCAGATGGTGAAGTTCTGACTCCTAACTTATCATGAACCAACTCAGCCATGGCCCCTGACTTTGGGTAGGGAATGGATTTTCATTAGGTATTTACCTGTTTTTATTGACAGTTTTATAAAATGTGAATATCAGCTATTAACACTGCATTGTCCTTTAATATAGGTAAAATTATTTGCAATTGAGGTTAAATTATTTAAATACAAAGAAATACTCTGCTACTATTACTGTTAAAAGTAGCAACGACAGCAACAATTAATGTAATTCTTTTGCTGATTACCAAATTCTTATTTACCTCTAATTCTTTGGAAGTGGACTTATTTTCTAGCCTATTAAAACTCTTAAATACATATACTGGGTAAATCTTTAAAATGAAATATATTAATTGGCACTAAAGGATTAAATTCAGTGGTCAAGGAGGCTTTCTTTGAGACAGCCATAAAGTCATATATGGGAAAGGCATATATCTTAGGGTATAATCACCTATTTTATCTGAACAGATGAATAAAAACAGTCACATCATCCTGTGTGGCCAAATTTCTCAGTACAACAAAGATGTGCCTTATCCTCCTCCACTACCTCCTGATGTAGAGGCAATTCAGAAAGAAAGAAACATTGCAAGGTGTGTTCTATCTTTTCCTGTTTTTACCGGATTCAAGGGGTTTAAAGATCACAGGTGTATGTGAATGCATTGTTCTCCATGTATAATTTTTTCTTATTAAATAAAACTTGAAAATATATATATTTAAGTTGATTCACTACTTAGGCTTTAGTTAATTAGCTCTTTGGCAGAAAACTTTTAAAAAATTGCATCTGTTCTATAAATCTTTTGCAAGTCTTTTTGCAAGTAATAGAAACTCAATCACATTGGCTTAAGTACAAAGGAAATTTATTGGCTCATGTATTGAGAAGTCCAATATTAGTACAGTACTGGCTGAGCTCTGGCTGGATAAAGGGTTTGTATAGTGGCATCACGACTGTTTTTCTCCACCTCTGGGCTGTGCTCCCTCCCAGGCTCTCCTCTTGCAGCAGCAGGAGGATGGCTGTTACCTCTAGTCTTACATTTTACCAGGTTAGCAATCCAAGCAAAAAGAGAACAGCTTTCTTCTTGCAGTTTTATCAAGTCCCAACGCTGATACTTTATGGCTCATACTGGCTTGGCTTTGGTTACATAGGGTAGGGAAAGGATGTTACCCACAAAGTAAAATCATAGAGCTATTACCAAATGGGGTCATAAATGCTGGATAGACAAAACAGTAGAACTCCACTGCACTTATCCCTGTCTCTACACCTAAAACTGTATCTGGCCAGACTCTGTGATTAAGTCCTAATGTTTGAAATATTAACACATAATAGAGATGTGGAATGATTTCATTTTGGACTCTTATTCCCCCACTGGTCTCTGATCATTATTCTTTTCTTTCCCAATACAGAGAAAGATTTATGGTGTTAAATTATAAGGACAAATTTGAGTCTGGTATTCTACAGCTGAGTCAATGGTTTAAAGAAGGAAAGCTAAAGGTAGAATTTGCTTCTATTCTTTATCAATAACATTCTTCCTGCTGTTTGACATGCTTTTGAATTTATTATAGCAATGTACTAGTTTCATAATAAAAATTCCTACAAAAGGGAAGTGTACTGGATATTATAAATTAACTTTGCCTCCCAGGCGATATAACCTCCTGGTTGAGAAGCCCTTTCTTATTATTCCCTTTACCTGAAGTTTTATTAACCTTATACTTTTCTTAGATTATGTTGTAAGATCAATAGATTTTCCTTCCTAAATTTTAATACTCATTAATTTAACAAATATTAATATGGAATTCTACGTGTTAGAAGCTGTGCTTTCTCAAAAATCTTATAAGCACCGCCTAGTACCCCCACCTCTCCACTACCATATGTCTCTCCTGCCCTCCCAGAACATTCTGATATATCTCTTCTCTTTGCTTTAAAATCAGGAGTTATTAATCTGGGGTCCAGAAACCCTGACCTAGCATGTTCTTAAAACCTGCAAATGATAGGCAAAGTTTATATGTGTATGCTTATGTGCTTTTGGAAAAGAGGGTATATAGCTTGTGCTGTTACCAGTGGAAGATTAGACAATGGGAAAATAGGATTTTATTTTAAAAAGTTAATTGATAGGAAACCTTTTTGGGTTACCTACATGAAATTAAGAATATCTATTTTTAGACAGAAAGTGCTAAACAGTATTGCTGTCTTTTGCAAACATGAAAATTATTAACTAGAAACATTGAAGTCTAAAGAATACTAAGTATAGCTATTTTGATTTACAGATTAAAGAAACTATGACAAATGGATTAGAAAACATGGGAGGTAAGATGAATGTAGATTTATTATATATATGTGCTCAGCACAAATAATACCTTTTTTCTTTTGCTTCTATTTCTCTGGTGTTTTTTTCTTTTAAATATTTTTATTGATTTCAGAGAGGAAGGTGCCGGAAGCCGGTCCATCCTTGCTGCTTGACACAGTCGCTGCAGGGAAGAAACATCTGTACAGCATATGTTTCAAGGGACCTGGTGTATATGGCATACTGTTCTTAATATGTTTGCTCCCCTTCTTAGCGCTGTGTGTTTTAACCAAGGTCACCTCTCCGAGAAAGGTTGTTTCCCCAGGTGGGGATTTTTCCCTGGAGTTAGGGATTAACAGGACTAAGGAAGGGAATAAATCAGTAAAACCCCTTAACTAAGTGCCAGGCTTAAACTACATAATCTTTACTTAGGATAATCTCCTTCAGTTACTTCCTTGTAGCTTAACAGAACAGTAGAGTAGTGACCTTGGAATGGAGATAACAAACGCCCTAACCTTTGGAATAGAATGGATAGGATTAAAATCAACAGAACTAGATGGAGATGGGATTTTTGGCAAAGGTCAGATAAGAAACTATGGACATGAAACAAGGAAATGTAGGTCAAGGGAGGACCCAAAACATACCATGATGTGATTATAGAAGCATGCTTATAGGATCAAATGGTGTAAATACAGATGTAACAGGACAATAAAGAGACAACCTGGCTAGAACACCTGGCGAGAGAACCTGGCTAGTATGCTGATCAACTGAACGCTGCCTCCGTGTCCATCCTTCTTCGCTGACTCCGTCCACACCTTTGGGAACCCCTGGACCTGATGGGGCTGAACCCCAACAGGAAGGGAGAGGGAGAGAGAGATGGAAACATCAATGATGAGAGAGAATCACTGATCAGCTACCTCCTGCACTGGGGATCGAGCCACAACCCGGGCATATCCCCTGACCAGAATCGAAATATGACCTCCTGGTTCATAGGTCAATGCTCAACCCGCTGCTGGTTCTTTTGTTTGGTTTAAATAGAAAGGATTAGCTCGGCTGGTGTGGCTCAGTGGTTGGGTGTTGATCTATGAATGGGGAGGTCAAAGGTTGTGGGCTCAAATCCCAGTAGGGAAATCAATAAAAACATATTTTTAAAAATAAAAGGGATTAATCAAACAACTTTTTTCTTTCTCAGAAAAAAATTTAATGTATTTGGTTACTAAGTTTACCAAACAGAAATATAATTTCACTTATTTTTCTGGCATAATGTGTATTTCACTTAGTAAAACTTTGTGATTAGATTTCTGACATTTTAACTGTTATATAGAAACTAGAGGCCTGGTGCATGAAATTTGTGCACTCCGGGGGGAGGGGTCCCTCAGCCCGGCCTGACCCTCTTGCAGTCCAGGAGCCCTCAGGGGATGTCTGACTGATGGCTTAGGCCTGCTCCCCGTGTCAGCTGGACATTCCTTAGCGTAGCTGCAGAGGCGGGAGAGGCTCCTACCACCACCGCTGTGCTCACCAGCCGTGAGCCCGGCTTCTGGCTGAGCAGCGCTCCCCCTGTAGGAGTGCACTGACCACCAGGAGGCAGCTCCTGCGTTGAGCATCTGCCCCCTGATGGTCAGTTCGCGGCATAGCGACTGGTCATTCCGCCGTTTGGTCGATTTGCATATTAGCCTTTTATTATATAGGATTTGTTTTGCTGATATTTTACCTTCAAACTTACTTGCCTCTAGTTTTCAGACTGTAAGCCATGAGTGTTGATATAGACACCAATTAAACATTTCTAGTTTGGGTAAAAAAATTTTTAAAAATATATTTTTATTTATTTCAGAGAGGAAGAGAGGGAGGGAGAGATAGAAACATCAATGATGAGAGAGTATCAATTGACTGGCTGCCTCCTGCATGCCCCACATTGGGGATTGAGCCTGAAATCCAGGCATGTGCCCTGACCGGGAACTGAACGTGACCTCCTGATTCATAGGTCTACACTCAACCACTGAGCCACGCCAGCCTGGCGAGTAAAGCCAATTTTTAAGATGCTGATTGGGTTAGTTTACCCTGTAACTTTGCCAGTGTATATGTGAGGTTTCTTTTGATGACAATTTTCTTCTATACTTAATATTAAAATCATTGAAGTAATTTTTCAAATTACTTGTGTTTGACCTACCAAACGATATGTATGATAGTGACATTTATGTTTTGAGATAACTTAGTTTTTTTTCTTTTTCTTTCTAGCTGCATTCCAGTCCATGATGACAGGAGGTAATATTGGAAAGCAAATAGTTTGCATTTCAGAAGAAACCTCTTTGCAGTCTCTATAAACATCTTCATCAAGGAAATATAAATTTCTTTCCATTTTGCACAAAGACTTTCAAGACACATTAAAAAACACCTGAGAGTACAGATAGCTTTTGGCTTAAATGTACTAATAGGTGATTATTTTCTTAGTTGCAAAATAAGTCTTTCCTATATCTTCAATATTATATATATACTCTATATCCAACGTATTACATACAATAGGTTGAAGTCAAAATGATCTATTTTTCTTTCTTTTCCTAAAACTATTACATACGATATTTTTATCATATATACTGAAACCACTGGAGATTTGATACAACTATTAATGGTTCATACAAAACAGCTTTTCAAAATTAATAACTTTTATTGAAAACGGAATGGTTGAGAAGGCATTTAGTAAATGTTTATAGAACTGGGAAAGTTTTACATAATTCTTGAACTGAAACTTGGCATAAGAAAATTGGGGTGGCCTTTCTATACATGGAAAAGGGACTTAATGGCAGGGTGTTTGTCTGGAGTTTGGGGGAATTCAGAGCTCTGTGTTGGGACTAGTATGAGAAGATAAGTAGAGGTTGATTAGGTTGATGGAGAGACTACATTTGCTACAGAAGATGATCTATTTGTGTTATGCCAAATAATTTACTGTATAGGAACTCAAAATATTTATTGATAAAAGCATATGTTTATTTTAGGTTAGCAGGCACATACTGTCAAATAGTTGTCAAGATTTCCAGGGCAAATAGATTTAAACATTACTTGGAGTTTTAGGTGATTAAAAAGATTGAGACAGCCTGGCTGGTGTGTCTCAGTGGTTGAGCATCGACCCCGGAACCAAAAGGTTGCGGGTTTGATTTCTGACTAGGCACATGCCTGGTTTGCAGGCACCATTCCCAACAGTGGGTGTGTAGGAGGCAGCCAGTCGATGATTCTCTCTCATCATTGGCGTTTCTGTCTCTTCCTCCTTCCTCTCTCTCTAAAAATCAATAAAAATATATATATTTTTAAATATTTTATTGATTTTTTACAGAGAGGAAGGGAGAGAGATAGTTAGAAACATCAATCAGCTGCCTACTGCACATCCCCACTGGGGATGTGCCCGCAGCCCAGGTACATGCCCTTGACCGGAATCGAACCTGGGACCCTTCAGTCCGCAAGCCGACGCTCTATCCACTGAGCCAAACCGGTTTCGGCAAAAAATATTTTTTAAAAGGATTGAGACAACAAAGACAGGTTCAGAATATTAGGACTGAGTGGGCAAATTAACAAATGATGGTAAACATGAATGTCCAAGACCTACAAATGTAACTCTAAATTAGAGTTTGCTGGGGTGGGGGGAGGTTGAGGAAACTATAGGGGGGGATAAATGGTGATGGTTGAAGACTTGACTTGGAGTGGTGAATGCACAGTACACTGTACAGGTGATGTGTTGTGGAACTATGCATCTGAAACCTGTCAATTTTGTTAACCAGTGTCACCCCAACAAATTCAATAAAAAGGAAAAAATTAGAGCAGTGATTCTACAAAAAAAAAAAGGGGGTTTGAATAAAAAGAGTTTTGTTTTGTAATCAACCCTATAAAACAGTAAAATTGGGGGTAGTTTTCTCCGAGTGTCCTGCTGGTTTATGGTCTCCTGTTTATACACTGCAATATACTTTTTAAAAACACCTTATCTTATTGGTAAAAGTATTATACATATCCCCCTCTCCCTGGCCCCATTAACACCCTCCACATTACACCCCGCTCCTGCAATATACTTTTGTTTATAGTATAAACAAAACATTTATAGAAAGTAGATTCAAACTGTGTTAGTAATCATTCCAGTTGTCTTTAGTGGCCTTCTTTCTTGTTTTATATAATTTTCCAGGGCCATTTAATCTCTGTATGTTGATAACTCCCAAATCTACATCTCTATTTTTGACCTCTTTCTTACCTGAGTTTGGGACCTTTACCTCCAAGTAAATATCCCCTTGGGATAAACGCACTTTATCTAAAGAGGAATTATCTTCCCCTGAACTGTGTTTCTCCTTTGTTTTGCAAATCACCATAGTTTATTTGTATATTCAAACTACTACTCTCTCACCCATTTATATGCCTGTCTTCAAGGCTTACCTTTAATCTTACGCGCCTTTCTTAGAGAACTCCTTTAATTCCCACTGCCACTGTCTTCGTTGAGTTCTTCATGGTTTGGCAAGCAGCACTATCAAAAAATTAGTAATTTCAAGAAGTCGGTCAAACTCATAAAGCTCTAACAAGTGGTGGCATCCAGCCTGGAACGCAAGTGGTCTAGCCCCCAGGCAGGACACCTGAGAGCTCTTTACATCCAAATACAGTGGGGCTTTGACTTACGAGTTTAATTCGTTCTGAGACCGAGCTCGTTAAGGAGCTTGTTAACTCAAATTACTCTATTAACTCAATGCAAAAAATCAGCCGAGAGACAGCTGGTATCTCAAAAAACTCGTTAGTCGGGACACTCGTAAGTTAAGGCCCCACCGTATGTGGAACCCAGACGCTAGGGAATTCATATTCCAAAAAAAGTTCTAACTACACGAGTCTCAATTCTTACCCTGCTCGGCATACAATGCAGAGGTAGGTTCTGCAGTTCCCTTCCCGGGGAGGTGAAGCTTCGCGATCCTCTTCGCTGAGAACTCCGATGAAAGTCAGCAGTGACCGTTCTCGCCTCCATTGTAGCTGGCACAGACCTCAGCCGACAGGTACCACGGCCCGTCCGCCGCTGCAGGGAAGCGGTGACGTCACGGCGGGAATGAACCGACCCGTTTTGCGGGCTTTGCAGACCTCGGAGCCCCGAAGGCCGATAGAGAATGAGTGGGAGGTGGGAGACCACGGCGCCTTGGGTCCGGGCGCGGAGCCCTGCGTCGCAAACCGGGGCGCCCGGCGGCCCCCCGCTCGGCCTGGAGGCAAGAAAGTGGGTGTGTGCGTGGGGGGCGGCCAAACTTCCTGTCCCGCGCTCGAGCTGCTTCCGGCAGGAGCCGGAAGACGCTGTGTGTGGACGGAATTTGGGACCGATTGACCCACGGGCGGCTGCAGGGGACGTAAGGTGAGCTCCAGGGCGGGCCGGGCCACACTTGCTGGGCGAGGCGGTCCCCGACAGGGAGGGAGCCAGGACCAGCTCCTCGGGGGCTCGGGCCCAGGGCGCCCTCGGGGGGGACAGGGAAACCGCCCCCCTCAGGCACCCCGGCGGGACCTGGCGGGCCCGGAGCGGCCGGTCTGAAGCCCCACGGCGTGGACCCTTCCCCTCGCGGGGTTTTGGGGCCGATGTTTCGGCTCCTTTGCTTGGTTTTGGGGGCCGGGACGTGGGAACCAGACCGTCCCGAGAAAGCCGGAGTCAGCGAGTCCCGTGGGCGGGGGCTGCCGGGCTGCACTGGCAGCCGGGCCTGCCCGCGGACCTGGCGCCCGACACGAAGGCCGTCGTCCTGGGGAAATGTGATGCCAGAGGGACTCTGCCCGGGATAGTTCATCCCCGAGCTGCACCTTCTTTCATACGCCCCTTACTTTCTGGGTCTGGAAGAAGGAAGGCTGCCGACTGGGAGGGGCTGGACCGCGGGTTCTGCGCCGCCTGTCATTCCAAGGCGGGGGGTGTGGGCCGTGGGCTGTGTGCACAGCCTGGATGCATTTATCAGGTTGAATTTATCCTCTGTAGTTTCTTCAGATAACAGATACAATTAGTTTATTAAAGTTTGTTGCACTTGCTCATGAGACTCTGAAATGCATTTAGGCACTACTTGGAGGTTACAGACTATTAACTTGGGACCTAAGAATTTGCACTTCTTCCTCACTTTGGCAAAAGGTCCTTGCAGCGTATTTTCAGAGAGCCTTAAAAAAAAACCATTTTGAAATAAAGTCAGGGACATTTTGTTGTTAAGGAAGAAATTCCACTTTGTGTTATCTTAGTTGTGGACAGAGTATACAGTCAACTAAACTAGCAGAAGATTTAGGTTCTAGTTTTTAAAGTTTGACATCGAAGTAGATGCCTAATTTTTGGCAAGTTACATAATCTCTAGCTTTTGGCTTTTTCTTTTTTCTCTGTAAATTAAAGAGCTTACCTATTTATCCAGCAAATATTTCCTGAGTGTTTACTTTGTACACAGCGTCGTCCTAGGTTAATGGAAAGAAGGGTGAATAAACTCAAACCTAACCAATGAGAAAAATTTCCATGTAGACAACTAACACCCTAAGGGAAATGAAATAATTGCTGAAAGAGGGGTTAAACTGTTTTTGTGAAAACACGGAGGTAAGGACAGATTTGTTCTGACTGGAGGGAAAGGATCAGAGTCTTAATGGATGAGATGGCATTTGAGTTGAATTTTAAAGGCTGGGAAGGATTTCACAAGATCAGATCTAGATTGGGGGTGTTTATTACTGATTGAAGACCTAGCCCAATCAAAGACCTTGAGCACTGACAAAGGTTAGTGTGTTCATTTAATAGCGAATTTAGTGTGGCCTGCAGTAAATAGTTTATTAAGGAATATAGTGGATGCTGGTGTCTGAAGACATGTAGAATATTTAAAATGCCATGCTTAGGTGTTTGACTACTGAGGCACTGAGCTTTGAGTAAGGGGAATAATACAAACATTTCTATGTTTTGGAAAGGTAACTCGAGTGGTTGTGTAAAAGATGGATTGGAAAGGGGCATTTTAAGGGCTGGGTGGCCAGATAGAAATCTATTTTAATACTGTAGTTGGAAGATAATGAGAGACCTAAACAGGGCATTACACTAGGAATACATTTGGGGGAATCGAAACCACTGGGATTATTTCAGTAGGGAAGATGAAAGGGATTGTTAAAGATGGAGAATTTGCAACTGAGTGGGAGGAAGATTGGGCAATAATTGAAATGAATGCTGCAGGAAGAAGAACGGGTTAGGTGGTGGAGATAATAATCTGGATTTAGTACATTGTTAGGTTGAGTTGCTGTTGGATAGCTATGTGAAGATAGTAGCAAGCTAGTTAGAAATGAAAGTTTGAAGTTCAGAAGAGGTCAGGAATAGAGACAAAAATTTAGGTATCATTTGCAATGTCATTCATTTATTATACAGATAGTTATTCAGTGCCTACTAGGTGCTTACATGGAACCTTGTGTGGAAGCCCTTTAAGCTCATAGTAAAGAAAACCTTAGAACATGGACAACAGGGGGATGGGAGCATGAGTGTGTGTGGGGGGGAGGTTGGGGGTTAATGGGGGGGATGAGGACACATTTGTAATACCTTAACTAATAAAAAAAAAAAAAAAAAAAAAAGAAAACCTTAGAGCGTCACAGTATCAGAAATGACACTGGAAAACCTAAATTCCTTATGACTTACATAAAGTGCTCTGCCAGGTGCTGGGAAACATAGTAGTGAACAAGACTAGTTCTTACCCTTGTTTATGGAGCCTGCAATTTATGGGATAGCCCACAAAAAAATAAAGACTATATAAAAACAAATGAAAGAATTAGAAGTTGTGATTAGTGAAGATGGTAGAGGGTGTATGGCAAACCTTCCTTGAGTAAGGTATCAGGGAAGGCCTTTCTAAATGAGTTAACAGTTAAACTGAACTATGAAGGATTAAAACAAACAAAAAAAGAGCTAACCAATGGAAGAGAATGGCAAAAGCATTCCTAGGTAGAGCAAATGTCATGTGCAAATCCATAATATAAGAAAGAGCTTCATGTGTTCTCAGAGCTAAGGGAGCTTCCTCTGGCTGGGACTTGGTGAGCAAGTAAAGGAGGGTGACGCTGGAGGTGGGGATGCAGGAATGGCTCACATAGGTTTTTACAGGCCAGAGTAAGGAGTTTGGATTTTGTCTAGACACATTGGAAAGCTTAGAGAAGAGTTTGAACAGGGAAGTATATCTATACTAGGATTCACATTTCAAGATGATATTTATTGCTGTGAAGAGAACAGAACGGAGGGTGGCAAGAACAGAAGCAGGGAGACCAGTAACAGTGCTTTAGGGCAAAAGGTGATGGTGGCCTGGAGTAGGGTGGTGGCAGTAGAGAAAGAAGTAGGTGGATTTGCTATATTTCCTCCTTTGGAGATAGAATCAATAGGACTTGGCAGCTGGATTGAGTATTGGGAACAAAGGAAATAAAGTAATAAAGATTACTCCTAAATGACGTAAATAGTGGTCCTTGAGTAAAGGGTTGTGGTGAGAGGGGCTGGTAAGGAAGGATGGGAAACAGGCTTGAGAGAGAATTTGTTTTGAACATGTTAAAATGGAGATATTAAGTTAAAATGTTAAATAGAGATGTATATCCAAGTCTGCAGCTCAGAGGAGATATCTGGGCTACAGATAAAAATTTTGGAGACCATATGATTTAAAGCAGGGGTGGGCAAACTTTTTGACTCGAGGGCCACAATGGGTTCTTAAACTGGACCGGAGGGCCGGAACAAAAGCATGGATGGAGTGTTTGTGTGAACTAATACAAATTCAAAGTAAACATCATTACATAAAAGGGTACGGTCTTTTTTTTTTTTTTAGTTTTATTCATTTGAAATGGGCCGTAGTTTGCCCACGGCTGATTTAAAGCCAAGGAACTGGGTGAATTCACAAGAGGGAGAGAGTATAGCAAAAAAAAAAAAAACGGGTCTGAAAACTATCCTGAGGAACATTAACATTTAGGGGCTGAGTGGAGGAGGATTATAGGAGTTATCAGAGGAGACTGGAGAGATGGCCAATAGGTATAGTGAAGTAAGGAACATGTATCTTGGAAATAAAGAGAATAGTGTTTGAGAATGGAGGCAGCGCCTTTGAGAAACAGGGCCAATGATGCCTCTTTGGTTGCAAGTGAACAATTTACTTCAGAAGAGGAATTTATAACCAGGATGTGAGCAACTCACAGGACCAAAGAAAATGCTGAAGGCCCTGACTTTATAAAGGACTGGAATATGAGCAGCCCCAGGGAAGGCTGCTAACTGCAGTACTGGAATGAATGGGCTGCTGCAGCATTTTTCAGTCCTTAGTTACTTTCAGGATTCATGTTCTGAGGAAAAGTGTCTGATTTGTTCACCATGGGTCAAGTGTCCAGTAGTTGGCCAGGATAGAAAAGAACATCTTAATCTACAGTCCTGCCAAGAATGTAATTAATGGGGGGGGGGGGGGGGTAAATCCCCAAACAAAATGGATCCTGTCACCCAGGCAGGGGAAATGAAAGTAAGACAGTCAAAAACAATAGTTGTCCATTGCAAAGGTCAAGTAAGGTGAGGACAGTAAAGTGTCCATTGGACTTGGCAACATGAAGATCATGGGTTATCTTTACAAGAGAGGTTTTGGTGAATTGACGGGGTTGGGTAATGATTGGAGATGAGAAAGTAGAGACAACTCCTGATGAATTTAGCTTATAGAGAATTAGGATTGTGGAGAAATGGGGAGGTGAATGGAATAAGATTCAAGGCTATAGGAATGGAGCACCCAGAAGATCCTGGGAAGAGAAAGGAAAAGGCCTAGGGTGAATCCTATGGTTTTAAAACTCATTCTGGCTTTACAATTCTGTATTCCAAATTTCTTTCGTTAGTACCTGTTACCACTTTATCATTAGAATTTAATCAACTCCCATAATATGCTAGGTATGATGTAGAAAGTTACCTCGTTTTCCTGTTCCCAGCACTGTTATACCAAAATTTAAACTGCTCTTTTAAAATAAATTCTAATTTTTCGTCTTTGTAATTTACTAATGTCAGTAGAGTTGTCTGGATCTATATCTGTGGTCAGCCACAGGTGGCGATGGAGGGAGCTGAGAAGCAGATTGGCCCATGGTCAGAGAGACTAGTCCTTTTGGTTGAAATCATGTGCTTTATTTTAGCCTTTGTATGAATGGTGACCAGATGTGGGGAGCACAGTGTTTCTCAATTTCTTTTTTCTTTTTTCTTCTACCCACCCACCTTCCACTTCTTCCTAAAACTGGGTCAAGGTCAAAGCATTGTTGACCTCCCTCAAGTTAGAGCAGTACTGCTATTCTGGGCTTTGTTTTCTAGGGTGGAATTACTTTGCCTTTTATTTTTATTTACTTTGTATCCTTTCCATTATTTATGGAGCTAAATAAGAACTTGAGGATATGTTCTTATAGATTTTAGAGAAAGAAAGGGAGGGAGAGAGAAAGAAATATCGATGTGATGTGATTGGTTGCCTCCTGTGTGCATTCAGACCAGGGATCAAACCTGAAACCTAGGTATATGCCTTGACCAGGAACTGACCTTTTGGTGTTCTGCACAATACTAACCCACTAATCTACCCAGGGTCACTCTGCTTTTTAGAGGTTAACACAATGGTGTTCTCTGTCTTTTATGAGGCAAAGTAGTAAAAGCCCCTGGTCATATTTCCCTTGGAAATACACTCCCTTCTGCATAGCAATCAGGACTGAGACAGGAGACTTGTATCATCTCTGTTCCCCTGTTGCTTGCTTACTTTGGATTGGTTTTCTCTCCCAGTATGTGAGAGGTCTGCATTGGGACTTGGGACCAAAAACTTCTTTTTGTTGCTAA